TCACATATGGCATAATAGAACTTTGCATTTCAGGGTTATAGGTTGCTTGTGAAGTGTTGTTAAAGTTCATAGACTTAATGTGAAGTTGTCATTGACCTCATATCCTCAACTGTTAGAATTATTTCTTCTCTGGATAATATTTGCACAATCTATGTTTATATATATTTAATACCGGGGTTGTAGAAACAAGAATAGTCATTTATAGTTCGTCGCGACACCAGTACACAACATAGTGATCTGGATGTTTCATTGCAGTTGTTAAAGCAATATCTGTTCTTGCACCTGGCGTCGAGCACTTGTGGTTCCAAACTGCACCGAAAGTCTTTTTGACAGATATTGATGTGTATATGGAACATAGTGGAAACTGAATATATTTGGCAGCTAAAGCATTTTGAAATATCTCAACATCATAGACTGCAGTCTGCTTTCTATTCTCTTGCATTCACTCCAGAATTTTCGCATGGAAACTTAACTGCGGGTCCAGCAGTTCAGCAGCATTGAAATAATAGTTTACTTCATTGTTGAAGTTTGAAAACAAAGTCATGAAGTCAAACTTTGTCTTTGCAAAAGGTCACATAACTTTGCTCCACCAGCTTATCTTAAGAGTGAATGGGTTTGTTGTTGTGCAATGACTAATTTATTTTTGCTTGGAAGTAAGTTCATTTAGAAATTTTCCTGCCAGTTGCAAGTATCTTAAAAACTGAGTCATGGAGGAAAATGACAAAGGCAACTCTAATGTTTCAGTTTTTTTACTTGTTACTGCTGCCTGCAGTTTGTCCAGAAAGGTTAACAAATACTCCGTGGAACGTTAGGTCAAGTCTTCTTATTTCTCAATATTTGCATACTGGGTCTGTTTGTTCTCTAGCCTGTGGTGTACTGAGTTTCTCAAGCGAAACCATTCATAGTGGCCCATCGTTACTGTTTGAACTAAGATCAGAGTTAGAATATATCTTATATCCCATGAAAACTTCATGGAGCATGATTGTATCCGACATAGAAAATCCATTGCAGACCTTTCTTGTCAGACAAACTTGGCAGGTAAGGTTCATTTCAATGTCTTTTGTTCCACGTATAAGAATGAGTTGTCAAGTAGAGATAATGTTGAAACCTGTCGCCGAAGCCAATATCTACTGTTGCTTGAAAGAACCTTCTCAGAACGCACCTACATTCCATAAAGAACAGCAGTTGTATATTCGTAAGTCCAAGAGACTATTTCTGACCTTCGTAATGGCATTCGGCACCCCCTGCCCGTCGCATTCTTATACATTCGGAAAACATTTCGCTTTCATGGCCATTCAGAAACTGTTGCGTATATTCTGAGCAGCGTACATTCATATGGTAAAAATATAGAATAGTTGGATATGTGTCATAATAGAACCCACCGGACAAGCTTTTACTTTCTCCTGGCTGTAGTTTTAACTCTTCTTTTTCCTATCATTGCCACTAACTTTCACTAGATGAAGTTTACTTCTCACTACTTTCACTGTTTGTTCTACTTCTTCTCTTTGGTGTCGCTTTGGTAACTTGCCCTCCTGCTTCAAGTTGTTGCCATCTTGCCTGCATGTTCACCTAGTATGTGTAATTTCCCATGTGCCTTTTTGCTTTGGCCTGGTCGGCCCCGCGTCATCCAGGTACCTATATCCTAAAAGATTTTGTCATAGTTTGTATTTGACGTCTTCGCGTATTGTTTGCATGACTCTTTCCTGAGGTTCCGGTTCAAGCTCTTCAAAACAGAGCTTGTCCATATGGAATAAGCTCGTTTCCAAATATATGTTTTTGTAGCCATTCGGTTTTCTTTCCAGTTACAAATAATATTTTGTGAATGGGAAACTTTTACCCATATTTCAGTCTTGCTCATTTATTTCTGCTATTCTATTGACTGTACTGTCATATCTTAGAGTTATATTATATGTTCTTCCTATCTTATATCTTTTTGTATTGAAGTCCTTCGGTTTCTGAACGATGTAAAGTAAGCCTTCACTGCAACGTTCCGTATCGAATGAACCATATGTTATGAAGTTATATCCAACAACTGGGTCTAACCATAACAAAACTATTGGTATAAGACTTTTGTCGATGAGATATGCTGCAGTTCCATAGAATCTTACCGATATCATAAGCTCAGGATTTCTTGTCAAAATTTTCTGAGTAGAAGCAATTCTAACCCAGTCCTTCGGTCTCTTTCCAGATGGAGAGAAAATGTCTGACAAAGAATATTTGTTGTATTTCTTTGAGTATCTTACGTTTAAATCACCTATTCTAACCAATTTGGTGTCATTGTCTATCTTTCTAACTGTTTCAAACTCAATGTTTGTCATATCTGTTCTTACATACAAAATAAAAAAAAATATTTTATAAAAAACTAACTTTATTTTTTCTATCTTAAGGAAATTCATGATTTTCATACGGAATCCCTTTCTCTCGGTTTTCCGAGGGAAGCAATCTTATGCCATTTTACTCATGAAATTTGTTGCTGAATTCAATAAAAATAATGTTTAGGTGAAGAGGTGAGATTTCACCTCTTTTTTCACCTCATTTTTCACCTCATGAATTTTCATGATTTCATCGTAAATGTTTTGTCAAAACTTCTTCGTAATGAGCGTAAATGACCCAAAAATAATGTTTAGGTGAAGAGGTGAGATTTCACCTCTTTTTTCACCTCATTTTTCACCTCATGAATTTTCATGATTTCATCGTAAATGTTTTGTCAAAACTTCTTCGTAATGAGCGTAAATGACCCAAAAATATATTTTAGGTGAAGAGGTGAGATTTCACCTCTTTTTTCACCTGTTTTTTCACCTCAGTTATTTTATAAGCGTTTCACATGGTAAACGTTATTTTTTAAATTTTGTGAAAACTCAACGGTTTGACACAAGCCCTAAAAATTATTTTACTCAGAATTTTGTTGCTGAATTCAATAAAAATATATTTTAGGTGAAGAGGTGAGATTTCACCTCTTTTTTCACCTGTTATTTTATAAGCGTTTTACATGAATTGTATGATGTATATTTGAAATCCTAAACAATTTCGTAGCTTCTATTTCTTCTGTCAGTACATCGAATGTTTTAACGATACCGAAAGTTTCTTTATACTTCTTCTTGACGTCAGATAGAAGGAAATCTTCTGCTGTTGGATAGTTTTTGTTCAGAAATTCTAACATGTCCATTTTATCTTCTGCTGGCTTTTCTGCTTCTTTCTTTAAGTCTGCATAGTCGTTTCGCATTCTTTCTATCTCTTTGACGGAGTAGTTATATTTCCTAATTGCTGCTTTACATTTAGAACATTGCGGGTTCATTTTTGCGTTATATTCTGAAACCTTACCTGCTAAAACAACTAAGGCGTCAATTGCTCTCTTCATCTCGAACATAGCGGGTCTTATTTGTTCGTTCCATACCTTACCCCTACTATCTTTATCTCTTATTTCCCAAACACATTTTGCAACTAATGAAACAAAGTTGTCGTAGGTCTTAAATTCTTCGGATTTGTAAAGGTCAGAGATGTTCTTATATAACATGTCGCAATCTTTGTCCATAACTTTATGGTTGCAATGAAAACCAAGGAATTCATAATTTACCTTTCGTATGAACTTCTTTATTTCTACCGAGTCAGTTGCTTTGACTTCAATTTCGTCAAATTCAGGAATAGTGAGTTTTTGTTGTTGGATTTCAGGCAATTTGGGTAAATGGTCAATAATGTCCTGCATTTCATAAAGATACTGTTCATTTGTTTCATTTTTCGCACTACAGTCTAAATTACTTGTTAACAATTCCTGCTTTATCTTCTGGATTTTTGTTTCAAAAGTATATGAAGAAGGAATGAAGCTTTTCATCTCTACCAACATAGATGTTGGATTCATAACTAACGAGTTTGGTGCTGTAGTTGTTTGAACTGTTGTTGTGCCGATTGTTGAAATCATATTTTTTATACAAAATAAAAAAATAAATAAAATAAAAAATAAAACTAACTTTATTTTTTATTTCGGGAAAATAACTGAGGTGAAAAAAGAGGTGAAAAAAGAGGTGAAATCTCACCTCTTCACCTAAACATTATTTTTTGGTCATTTACGCTCATTACGATGAAATCATGACAAAACATTTACGAAGAAGTTTTGACAAAACATTAATATATAAAATTCATGAAAATTCATGAGGGTGAAAAAACAGGTGAAAAAAGAGGTTAGATCTAACCACTTCACCTAAACATTATTTTTTGGTCATTTACGCTCATTACGATGAAATCATGACAAAACATTTACGAAGAAGTTTTGACAAAACATTAATATATAAAATTCATGAAAATTCATGAGGTGAAAAAAGAGGTGAAAAAAGAGGTGAAATCTCACCTCTTCACCTAAACATTATTTTTGTCTGATTTACGCTCATTACGATGAAATCATGACAAAACATTTACGAAGAAGTTTTGACAAAACATTTACGAAGAAATTCATGAAAATTCATGAGGTGAAAAAAGAGGTGAAAAAACAGGTGAAATCTCACCTCTTCACCTAAACATTATTTTTGCTGAATTCAGCAACAAAATGAACGAGGTCAGGATGTATGTAAATACCTTTGAATTCATTCATAACACCCTTTGTAAGCTCATAAAATGCTTGTTTTGAGGTCGAGCCACTTTTGGCTCCACCGTATTCTTTCAACCAAAACTCAAGAATTTCCCGCATGAATTTTGTATAAAAAGCAACCGTCTGAATTCCGGCGGTTGCTATATTCTTCACAAAATGCCTTATAATACTCTTCCCAGGACTTATTTTCCAACAACTTTCTAAAGTCTTTCCTAAACTGACTGACTGACTGACGGCACAAAGTGGCTTAACGAAAACATTAATATATAAAATTCGTGAAAATTCATGAAAATTCAAGAGGGTGAAAAAACAGGTGAAAAAAGAGGTGAAATCTCACCTCTTCACCTAAACATTATTTTTACTGAATTTAGCAACAACTTTCTCTCAATTGGAGCTGTGGCATACTCTTTGCGTAAACGGTTCAGACCTTCTTCGAACTCTTGGTCTCTCTTCGATTTGGATTGAGGTGGAAATTGCTGGAACAACCAAGGGTTGGAGCTGTAGCATACTCTTTGCGTAAGCGGTTCAGACCTTCTTCGATTTGTATTGGAATTGGTAGTAATTTGGATTGAGATTGGAATTGCTGGAACTGAGGTTGCTGAGGAGACTGTTGTGGTTCTTCTGGATTGAGATTGGACTCGGTTGGTGGGACGTGGGACATTCGTTGGTGGCTTAACCATCGGACCACAACGATAAAAATCTCTGCTACTAGCAGTACTGCTACTGACAGTAGCAGTACTTTTTCTGACAGTAGCAGTACTTTTACTGACAGTAGCAGTACTTTTTCTGACAGTAGCAGTACTTTATCGTCGAAAACCCTCTCAAATTTTCCTTTTTACTGCTCCTAGCAGTACTTTTACTGCTCCTAGCAGTACTGCTACTGACAGTAGCAGTACTTTTTCTGACAGTAGCAGTACTTTTTCTGACAGTAGCAGTACTTTTTCTGACAGTAGCAGTACTTTTACTGACAGTAGCAATGGACAACATCGAGCCATTAGATGAGGCAATTTACCTAATTGAAATTAACGAGCTTGTTAAAGACTTCCTCAGGCAGAATGTAAAAGGCAAGCTTGTTAACTGTTGGATAACGGGAAGGGCTGCCTTGAATCTCGAGACTTCGACTGGAATTCCAATTCAAATACCAGACGGGACAGCCTACGACGACATAAAGGACGCCAAAAGAGAAGCTCTTGTTAAGTTCCTAAACAAACGTCCTTGGATACAACTTCCAAACAGAGAGAGTCCAATTCCACGAATTATACAAATTCTCAGAGCACTGTTCCACTTCTCGGGTCAACCATTCTACATAACTACAGAAGGCGACATTCAGCCAGTTCAGTAAACCTTAACGTTTAACTTCACTTTTTTATGTTTTTTGTGAAAGTGTCAAAAATAAATTGTTTTCATGAGTTTTCTACGATGTTAGAAAAAATGTTATTTTCTAATATCTTCACCTAAATTATATTTTTCAATACTTTTTCAGCACTTTTCCGTAGTTATATATGAAAGACAATTCGAGATAAAAGTCATAGTACAATGGAATAATATGTTGCACACCATTTGTTGTGAACCAAACTTGAAAGTCAGAGAAACTGTTACTAGATGGTTCGTAGAATTTAGAAGCAAAGTCATAAAAGTCCTTACCAATACATAGAAAACTATTGTTGCTTGAACTGAAACTTGCATGACACATAACATTTTGAGGGTCAAACACGTTTCTATAAACCATCAAATCTGCTGGTGGAAGTATAAATTGAAATGGACCATCTGGTGGTAATGGTTCGTTCTGGTTTAGTAACCGAAGAAATTGTGCCCAAGAACGTTTGTCTACTTCCCAAAATAAAAACTGTGTATCTCTTGGAGGGTTAATTTCAATCTTTTGAAATGAAACGGTGGAGTTCATCTTGTCATATTCTAGTTTCAGATAGTATGTTCCATTTAGTAAAGAGTCGTATTTTTCTTGAAATTCCCAATAATATTTGTTCATTTGAGTTTGAAAGTCATTTAGAGTTTTCTCAAGACTTTCGTCTGAACGAACTGTAAAGATTCTCATTTCGTCAAATTTGTCTATTAGACCATCAGGACCTTTATACTGCCCATGAAAATATACTGCGAACATAAATGCGTTAGTTCTATTTGAAAACAAAACTCTTCTAAATCCTATTGCCTTTGCATCTGAAGGACTTTGAAGCCAACGAATTGGATAGTCAAACCTGTATGCTCGGGATGAAATTTCTTCATCTGAAATAGTCCTACCAGCATTTGTAAAGATATAGTCTAACGGTTTTGTATCTGCTACTTTTGTTCTTTGTTTTTCAACCCGAAGCATTTAATATATGTAAAATATATTGTTTTAAAATGGTATGCCATATAGCTTCTTGAATTTGTTAAGATGTATTTGAACGTATTTTCCATCTGTATCTCTAGTGTTTACATAAGCATAGCCCGCCTTAGTAAAATATACTTGTAATTTCCTATAGTTTACGCCGGTATAAAAGTAGAAAGAGTCTTGTTCTTCGCTATAGTAGTAAAACTCAAACGTATGCTTGCCATAGTCTGTAATTTCAATTGTTTCATCTTCTAGTTCGTCGACAAATTCGTATACAATATCTCCAAATTTGCCTTTGTTCTTATTGTTTTCAGAATAAGTGACCCAACGTAAGTTTTCAAGTCTATTGTCGTTTCTTATATGGTTTATATGGTCTACAAAAGGTAAATTGTTAGGATTCAGTATAAAATGAGTTGCAATGACAACATGTTTAAGATAGTGTTTTCCACCCATCTTCATATCAACATATCCGTTATTTCGCTCCCATTCGCTTAAAACTCCTTTTGTCTTTTTGTTTCTGACTTCAAATGACTCACAACAGTGAATTTCATATTTCTCATCTAACAAACAAGTTTCCCAACGGTCTTCTCCAACAAACTCAGCGTACATTTCAAATAAAATAAAAAAATGTCACTTTTTTAAAAATAAATTTTTACTTCATGCAATGTTTAACACATCGAAAGGCATGTCCATAAGACGTTCTTCTTCTAACCTCTCTAGTCTGTTTGGATAATTGGCGCGCGCTGTTTCTAAGTCCATTTCGTAGCGAAGACCAGACAATTTGTCATAGACTTTTATGGGTCTTCCCTTCCTATATTTAAAATTCTTCGAAACTCTCCAACCATATCTTTGCAACTCTGCTTTTATTCTAGCAGATTTTCTATCCATTCTATATGGGGGCATTTTTATAAAAATAAAAAAATGTTTTTTTTTTCTTTACTTTACATAACCTCCTGCTACCATAAGTCTTTGACGCCAACCCATACCAGCTAATGAAGGTTGACTTGGTTTAGTTTGGAAACTAAACTTTGGTTTTGGTTTATCTTCAGTTTTTGGTTTTTCTTCTTCTATCGGTTTTTTCGTCACTTTTCGGTTCCTCGGGTTTTACCCCACTGCAGGAACAGTTGTGTCGTCAACATCTTCATAAATATCATATGCCATTTGTTTTTGTTTTCCTTTCAACTTTTTGTGTTTGTTGTAAAGTTTAGAATATTTCGACTCTAAGTCAATGAGATGTTCTATAATAGAACTGTTGGTCAGTGAAGTAAACTTTTCCATCTGTTGTCTCGAAAGCTCCTTCAGACTTCAATATTTTATTTGTGAGAGTCTGTTTCTTTTTGAGATACTAGCCGTTCCATTTCTATGAAAAGTGACTTTATAGTTAGGGTTTGTATTTCCAGACCTGGCACTTTCTATTATTGAATTTTTCTCTTCATCTGTAAGTTCTTTGACAGGTTTTGACAATGGTTCTGAACTTTTTGTTTGTGGTGTCAAATCTACCGTTTCAACTTCTTCGGTCATTTCATCTCAGTAAAAAATTTTAGTTTGGTTTGTTTCAACTGGTTGTTGTTTTTTAAGTCGGTCTAAAACTTCCTGAGGTATAGGAAGAACTTGACAAACACGTGGTGTAACTGCTGGAAGTCGACAAATCCATCTTGAACCCATTTGTCTCAATGCTGTATTGTTCATTTCATCTCAGTAAAAAAATTTTACATTCCCCACGTTTGAGGCGGTTGAGGTTGGTTATTGTTTACCCATTGTTGTGCATGGTTATATCCTCTGTTAAAGAATCTTTCACCTTGGTCCATATAGTGTCCTGCTTGGTTATAGTAGTCTTTGCTTTGTTATAATAGTTTCCTGCTTGTCTTCCTACATTGTCCATCCATCCTTGAACTTTTCCTCTTGTTTCAGGATTTGGAATAAGATTTGCTGCATCTCGTGCTACCTCCAACCTTTCTGTACAGTTTGTATAATAGGTTGTGCTTTCTCTTTTCAGTATACCTAATGTACTCAAAATCTTCCTTCCAATTCCAAAAGCACCTCTAGCTATTGTTCCCACTGCGGGCAAAAATCTGATGCAACTCCTGCTAATGCGCCAAATAAACCCATTTCTTATGGGTTAAAAAATGACGAATCCAAACAAGGACCCCTATGTTTCTAAAGCGACAAAGAAAGCACTCATGATAAAATTTTAGTTCAACACAAATGCTTGGTTTATGGATATCTTGGAAAACATTCCGAGGTATAGAGAAGATGGACCTCCATACTGGTTATATTTGTTGGTCAAAACACAAGATACTGTGAAGCCATACCATTATGGTCCAAAAATATTTAGATGTGAAACTGCTTTGACAATATTCGTTGACAAATACATCCAACAAAACTGACATCTGACTGTGAAGTTCTTTCAAATCAGATGATATAAAAAACTATCTGCGTTCAAAAAATGTAAACCAATATTTCATTGTCGACCAAAACCATTTGCTCTTGTGTCATTGACGGTTGTATAAAAATGTTAAGAGACTTAAACCAACCACAAGGGGTGAAGCAAATGAAATGTCATATGACGACAAATATAGACACTTCTCCATGGCAAAGATGAGACAAGTTTTAAATATTTACAATAACCGTAAACAAAAAGGTTTGGGAACCACTCCCCGAAGAAATGAAAAAACAACCCTGACTTAGAGAAAGACTATATATTTAATATTAGTCAAAAGAACAAACAAGAAAGAATGCCGGGCTTCAAACTTCAGAAAGGTGACAAAGTAAAATAGAAATACCTAAACGCGACCCATATGAAAATACTATTGACTATGACAACAATGGGAACCCGACAGGTACTCACATTCGTGTTCGTAAAAATAGAAGAAAGTATACAAGAGAAATATTATGAAGTTTTAGGCAAACATGGCAAAATGTACACACTGCAAGCAGAAGATAAAACTACTATTGTCAGACCTCGTTTCAAACTTGTCAAAGTTCAAGGTGGTATACTTTCAAAGACAGTTCCTAACAAATATAAGACAACTCCTGACGAATATGCTAAAGAAGTTGAAAATGACGACTAAGCAATTCTATACCATGCGTAAACTGTCATGTAAGGTGGCATGTATTCTTTACTTTGTCCCGTTGTTTGCGTATATCCTGTAACGCGATGTGTATGGTCTCCTTCTCCCCAAGTGTCATCCCAGTAACAATTTATAGCAAACTTAACGTCGTCTTTAACATCATATCCTTTACCTTTTGTCATTCCTGTCCAATCCCAATATCTATGCTTATGCCAACCTTCTTGAGATGTACTTAAATTTACGTAATGACTGTGTGCAGGTAAATTTTCACCTGAAATCGTTTTACTTCCACCTGTTTCCTTTGAAGAGTTTGCACAATACAAAAACCTGTCGACTATTTGTTCCCATGCACCAACACCAAACATTGCTTGAGGACCTCTTACATCCATAGATGTATAAATAGAACCTACTGGGTTCATTAAATCAAACATATGAGATAATATAGGATTGTCTCTTTTGAACTTAAAATATAGTGCAACCATTTCAGGTTTCTTCTGGTTTGTGTCAGAATATTTTTTATAATATAATCTTATGTTTTCGGGGTAGGTAAAATCTTGACTATAATATTTATTTCTGTCATCTGTATAATAATATACTATTCTCGTTTTTTCTATTGCATTATATCTTTTATATCTATAATAATCTAAATATAATGTTAACTTTTGTTCATCTGCATGTTGTGCTCCGCCGTCATATCCATAGTCATAATAATATGGTATTGGAGCTGGGTCAGGCAATGTCATATCTGCCATTTCATAAACTCTTAAATATTTCTTTTGTTCGTCTCCATATAAGTTTAAGTAACAGTTGTTGTCTAATGGAACTTTAACTTGTGTACCATCATTCTTTATATAGCTTACATACATTTCATTGTTATTTTTCGGAATGAGTTTATACCGTGTACCATTTCTTAAGGAATGTACAAACTGCCATCTAAAATATTTATTTTCTTCATCGACAGAAAAGTCGCCAACAATAGTTTCAATATTTTTTGTTGTTCCTATCAAACTTTGGTATATTTCATTCACATATTCCTTATCTGCTTTATTTTCAAGGCTAACGTTTAAGTCTGTTATTTCAGATATAGAATGTGTATGTCCAACGTCACTTTTACTGTTTAAGGTTTCTTGTAAGTTTGTAATATTTGCAATGGTATGTGTATGAGTCTTATCTGCTTTTGTCTCTAATGTTTCCTTAAGACTTGGTATTTGGTTAATATAATGTGTATGAGTCTTTTTAGAATATTCGTTTTCAGCTTTTGTCACTTCACTTGACATTTTATTGTCAACATATGTTTTGTCTGCTAGTTCAGGATGAGTATGTTCTTTTGTTGCATAAGCATTGTTAGCTCTTTCTTCTTCTTTTGCTATTGCATCGTCTACATATTCTTTGTCAGCTTTGTTGTCAACATCTGCTTTCAAAAGAAGTTCATTTATAGGTTTCTCGTTTAAAGTTCCTTTTGTTGGATTTATACAGACAGTATGGTTCTTATTGTCTTGAAACAGAAACTCATCTGTCATTGGGTTTAATGTCAGTTTTAAGTTTCCTTCTTTCAATGACTCAGATATCTTAGAATAGTTTGAAAAGTTTGTTGTGTTCTTATTTAGAGCTTGCACAATGAGTTGTCGGTTGTGTTGTATTTCTCTCATAGACGCTGTTTCATTTGACATTTTTATTCTAGATAAAATATGCTTCCAATAGAAAAAGAAAATTCAAGAGTTGCTACAACTAAACCATTAGATGAACTTTTTACTAATGTCGGTCAAAAGTTTGAGACAGAGACCGTAAAGCATGAAGGCTATCGTTTTGACTACCCATTAAGATGGCTAAGAGACCCATCTGTCACAAAAGCTATTGGCTTTCGTAGAATGAAGTTTGTGTCTGTAGAAGATAAAAGTTTTCCATTTATTGTAAAGTTTCATATAGATTATATATCTGAAGGGAAACGAAAAATGTGGGAAGAAATTGAGCTAATACAAGTTGACCTTTCATCTTCTCTACAGACTGCGTTAAAAAATATAGAAGATAAAATAAATTCATGTTATGCAAAATATGCTGATGAATATGCAAATACCGAGAGCACACTTTATGTGAGAATTGTATATGACAAACAAAATTCACAAGTGTCATTTCAAATCTACGAAAACAATCCAAATAAAGACGAACAAATATATACAGAATTCACTGCAATGTCATGGTATTATTTGCAAAGAATGTTAAATCAGAAAGTCGAACTTCCTTTAGCAAATATTTACAGTCGATATGCAAGAGATGAACCATATTTATTTAAAGATGTTTTCGACCAAGATGCTGTGATAGTTCATGCTTCATTTTCTGGCGCCCAAAACTCTTTCTTATGCTTGGCAAATGACTTTTACGAAAAACCTACAAAGTTATACGAACCGCCGAGTGGAAGTATTTCAGACTTTCAAGTATGGTTTACTACAGATGGAAGAAAAAGAATAATTCCATTATACCATGCGTTTTACTTAGAACTTAGTTTCATATACAACTACTATCGAACGGTAAAAATATAATTTTTTAATACGGTTGAGGTGTTGGATTTGGTTGCCAACTAGACTGTGGTGCAGGTTCAGGCTGTTGTATAACAGGAGCTTGTTCTTCTGGTTCAGGGTCTTTAGGTATAATACCAACGAACTGACCTACTCTTTTACCAATATTTTTGACACCGTTCCAAATTCCTCTTCCTACGGTTTTTATTCCATTCCATATACCTCTTCCAACATTTCGAAAGAAGTTTCCTATTCTTCCAAAGAAACCCATTTTACTATATGTAAAAATCTAATGTCCGCCTAGTCTCTTACGTTTCCTGTTGAGTTCCATAGCATTCTTTAACTGGAGCTCATACATTCTGTTTCTCCTCTGGTAGAAAACATATTCTGGGTCAACTCCTGTGTTCGCGTCATCTGCATAAAGTTGTTTATATCCCACTTCAGGGTTTGTATAAAACTCTTTCCATCTCATATTTGCATACCATGGTGGCAAACCTAACGCAGCGTCATTTGACATGGCAGTTTGCATTTGTACATCTGTTGGCACTTGACCATAGTTTGCCATTGCAGTTTGTATTCTAACTTCATTTGGAATATTCTCTGGGTTTGGTTGTCCAGGTTGCTGTGCATTCGCTAAGTTCTGTGCGTCCATTTAATATTAGATAAAAATATCTCTTACGAGTACATATACTGAACATTTGCAGGCATTGGTTCATCTTCATATTCTCTGTACTTTTCTGCCACGTCAAATAAATAAATGACACAATGGAAAAAACCTAAAACAAGTAGTCCTATTTCAAACCACATTTACTTACTAATAAAATTTCTTTGTTATGACACTTTCTCCAGTTTATAGGACCTCTCTCATATTCTATCTTGTCATATATAAACTCATAGTCATGTATGTCCTCTAACCATCTCATAACGGTTTCCAAACCACTTTTATCGGATGTAAAGTAAAAGCATGGATGGTTATGTATAACGTCTAAAGTTTCTAAAGAGTCTCTCAAAGTCCAGTCTACTTGGTATTGAAAATCCCATGTGTTATAGAACGGCGGGTCCACTATAAAGAAAACATTTTCCTTGTCTTTATATTTTTCATACAAATCTGTCCAATGACATCTCACAAACTCTATACCCTCAATATATTTTTCTATGTCCTCTTTGAAAACATTTGTATAGTTAAGATATAAAACTTTTGACATAAGTGTTTCAATGTCATGAACTCTTATAGCACCACTATATAATAGTCTAGCAGATATACTATTCCAGTCTATATATTCTGCTTTTTTCAAAACCTCTCTCACAATATTTTTCTTATCTAATGGTATACGTTCCATCTTACCTATAGGTATCTTTTCTTTTAACTCTTTCAATATATTGTTTGTGTCTGGAATATGTTTGAGACGGTCCATATAGTTGTCGAAGTCATTGCATATAATCTTTGAGTCTGGGAATATTATATGGCACAAATGGGATATATAGAAACTTCCACCGAACAAATCTACAAATGTTAGACCATTCGGTAGTTTCTTAAGTTCTCTCAATATAATATCTTTACATCTACTCTTATTTCCAAAGAACGGTAACGGTGGTTTTGTAAAATTCATTTATATATAATAATAAAAATGTTTTTACCCGAAAAGTGACAGAAAAGTGACAAAGCATGAAAACATATATAATTTGTGAAAAGCGACACATTATATAATGTTTTCGACCCAGAAGCAATGGAGGAAGAAGAAGAGTCCTCCGAATTCACACCAGAAGACAAACAATTTTCCGAATAAAAACTTCATTATACTAATCATCTTCAGGGCTAGAGGGCACGAAGTGCCTGGAAGCCCCACTACCTTTTTTTTTTTTTTTTTTTTTTAAAAAGTCACTAAACCCGTCATATCCTACTACTTTCGAAATGCTGGACTGCTTGTTTCTATATATTGACATTCTATTTATAATAATTTTATCAAAAGTTCATCATGATTATAGCACAGTTGACAGGGCTTTTAGATTTTAGAAATAACAATTCTGATTTGCAGTGAAATCATTGATATAAATATTAAAATTTAACTATATGCCTTGCTCAAATATTGGTAAAGGACTGAGTTCACTTTTATTATAAAAAAATTTATAATTTATTTAAGCACCAAGTTTTTCAAACCATTCGATAATATAGTCCTTTGCCTTTCCTGTTGTAAGTGGATGGTCTTTTGTACCAGCAGATCTGTGTGCGCAAAGTTTTGAAGGAGGAAGTTTTGTATTTCCTTCTTCAGAAGATCCGACCCAGTCAATCATGCGTGTCTTTAAGTAGTTGTGAGTAAATCCTGTTTTGTTTTTAATTACATCTTCGACTGCATCTGTTAATGCTGTAGCTTTAACGTGTTGGATATACCATTCTTGGAAATTATTGCAAATATCGCAAACGCATTCACCTCCCATAGAATGGGCAAGAACGTAAACGTTATTTGGAGATGATGGAATTATTAAGTCTTCAAATACAGCAAGGCAGTGTTCACTAGAGCCATATGTATTATATTTCTTCTTAAGTTGTCTATAGCCAATATGGTTTGGATTTAAGATGACTACTTCCATGTTTCGTGACTTTGCCCAGCGAATCCATGGTAAATCGGAGCCCATGTCTAAACCATGGTATGCACATACACCAACACTCAAGAGACCAGCAGGGATTCTGCCAGATCCACAGATAATTACAAGTAATTTATCTGCCTGGTTGAATGCCCCAGGTGTATACCAAATTGGACTGCCGTTATCTTCGGGAATAAGTCTGCTAAGTAGGCCTTCCTTTGTCATTTGGCGCTCAACATACGCGTGAAGCCAATCACCAAATAAATCATTGTTTTGGAAGCCTTTTGGATGGTCTAAAATGCGCTTTCCTTCATTATCAACGAAAAAACCTTGCTCATTGAAATGAAAATCGAGATTAAGTCCTTCGTCATGCCAGATATCTTCAGCTGGAATACTCATTTTTTAAAAATTTGAAAACATGAGAATTTTTTTTGAGTAGGTGCCAAAAGTGCTTACTCTTAAACAACCGTCGGATTTCCGGGTGAAATCGTGACACACTTTCGTCTTTCGTAGGCAGTGGTGGTTGTTACAAAAGGTAACTTCGAATGTAGCGTGAAATCTGCAAAAAAATCTGAAATTTGAATGGAGAACACAAAAATTGAATAGTTTACGTCAATAAAAAAGAGAAAAATGAAGCCAATGTGTCTCGAACCTAGGACTTAGAGCAGCAATCCCACTGTTTATCCCATTACATATTACACTACATGCATCTCTCACCTCAGTGAATGAGATCAACTATATGATAACTTTTTCCCCATTATATTCTTGTGGAAAAGTGACAAATAGCAACTTTGACCCTCTCTCAATTTTTTTTTGACTAGATACAATTGAGACCAAAAAGTGATAGAATCTTGAATAAACAGTACCGTTGTATTCCCTATAAGGTATTTCATCTACCATATGAATACTAGCTTCGGGGGCGAGGGTCGGAGGTGGAATCACTTCTTTTTGACCAATCAAAAAAAATTCTTGCTCAGTTTTCCAACAAGAGATTTGAATGATTAATTAGTGTATGTGTAATAAACAGAAATTCATCAAAAGTGACAGCTCTCAATTTTTTGACATTTGTAAATTCTAAATTGAATGAGAAAAATGAAAAAATACTAAGCATAATACAATATTCTAGATTTAATTATAATTAGGAAAAAGTTAGTTTTGAGAGTACTTTTCATAGGCATATAGAATGAAATCTTCTGAAAAATAATATCACATAAACTCATATTATTTTCTAATATATAACTATTTTATATAAAAATCAAATTCAATGATCTTAAAAGCGAAGGATAAACCTCAAAATTTACGAATATAATGAGTGGGAATATAATGCTTATCTATCATAAAACCATATGAAATATCAATTTTTGCTTTACGCCTAATTTTTGACGACAATTAGCAAAAAATGTTAAATGTTAACACTCAGTCCATTTGAATATGAAAAATAAAATTGACTTTGATTAAATGTTTTTATTTATCATGCAATTCTTCTTGCGACCAAAGATTTGAATAAAAGTTCAAAAAATAAGATAGCTTAAAAAATAATATACGGTAAAAAAAAAAAGGTAGTGGGGCTTCCAGGGGCTGCGCCCCTTCTAGCCCTGAAGATGTTTAGTATAAATGAAGTTTTTATTCGGAGGGCTTCCAGGCGCGTTGCGCCCTCTAGCCCCGAAGATGTTTAGTATAAATGAAGTTTTTATTCGGAAAATTGTTAGTCTTCTGGGTCGAAAACATTATATAATGTGTCGCTTTTCACAAATTATATATGTTTTCATGCTTTGTCACTTTTCTGTCACTTTTCGGGTAAAAACATTTTTATTATTATATATAAATGAATTTTACAAAACCACCGTTACCGTTCTTTGGAAATAAGAGTAGATGTAAAGATATTATATTGAGAGAACTTAAGAAACTACCGAATGGTCTAACATTTGTAGATTTGTTCGGTGGAAGTTTCTATATATCCCATTTGTGCCATATAATATTCCCAGACTCAAAGATTATATGCAATGACTTCGACAACTATATGGACCGTCTCAAACATATTCCAGACACAAACAATATATTGAAAGAGTTAAAAGAAAAGATACCTATAGGTAAGATGGAACGTATACCATTAGATAAGAAAAATATTGTGAGAGAGGTTTTGAAAAAAGCAGAATATATAGACTGGAATAGTATATCTGCTAGACTATTATATAGTGGTGCTATAAGAGTTCATGACATTGAAACACTTATGTCAAAAGTTTTATATCTTAACTATACAAATGTTTTCAAAGAGGACATAGAAAAATATATTGAGGGTATAGAGTTTGTGAGATGTCATTGGACAGATTTGTATGAAAAATATAAAGACAAGGAAAATGTTTTCTTTATAGTGGACCCGCCGTTCTATAACACATGGGATTTTCAATACCAAGTAGACTGGACTTTGAGAGACTCTTTAGAAACTTTAGACGTTTTACATAACCATCCATGCTTTTACTTTACATCCGATAAAAGTGGTTTGGAAACCGTTATGAGATGGTTAGAGGACATACATGACTATGAGTTTATATATGACAAGATAGAATATGAGAGAGGTCCTATAAACTGGAGAAAGTGTCACAATAAAGAAATTTTATTAGTAAGTAAATGTGGTTTGAAATAGGACTACTTGTTTTAGGTTTTTTCCATTGTGTCATTTATTTATTTGACGTGGCAGAAAAGTACAGAGAATATGAAGATGAACCAATGCCTGCAAATGTTCAGTATATGTACTCGTAAGAGATATTTTTATCTAATATTAAATGGACGCACAGAACTTAGCGAATGCACAGCAACCTGGACAACCAAACCCAGAGAATATTCCAAATGAAGTTAGAATACAAACTGCAATGGCAAACTATGGTCAAGTGCCAACAGATGTACAAATGCAAACTGCCATGTCAAATGACGCTGCGTTAGGTTTGCCACCATGGTATGCAAATATGAGATGGAAAGAGTTTTATACAAACCCTGAAGTGGGATATAAACAACTTTATGCAGATGACGCGAACACAGGAGTTGACCCAGAATATGTTTTCTACCAGAGGAGAAACAGAATGTATGAGCTCCAGTTAAAGAATGCTATGGAACTCAACAGGAAACGTAAGAGACTAGGCGGACATTAGATTTTTACATATAGTAAAATGGGTTTCTTTGGAAGAATAGGAAACTTCTTTCGAAATGTTGGAAGAGGTATATGGAATGGAATAAAAACCGTAGGAAGAGGAATTTGGAACGGTGTCAAAAATATTGGTAAAAGAGTAGGTCAGTTCGTTGGTATTATACCTAAAGACCCTGAACCAGAAGAACAAGCTCCTGTTATACAACAGCCTGAACCTGCACCACAGTCTAGTTGGCAACCAAATCCAACACCTCAACCGTATTAAAAAATTATATTTTTACCGTTCGATAGTAGTTGTATATGAAACTAAGTTCTAAGTAAAACGCATGGTATAATGGAATTATTCTTTTTCTTCCATCTGTAGTAAACCATACTTGAAAGTCTGAAATACTTCCACTTGGTGGTTCGTATAACTTTGTAGGTTTTTCGTAAAAGTCATTTGCCAAGCATAAGAAAGAGTTTTGGGCGCCAGAAAATGAAGCATGAACAATAATAGCAGCTGGGTCGAAAACATCTTTAAATAAATATGGTTCATCTCTTGCATATCGACTGTAAATATTTGCTAAAGGAAGTTTGACTTTCTGATTTAACATTCTTTGCAAATAATACCATGACATTGCAGTGAATTCTGTATATATTTGTTCGTCTTTATTTGGATTGTTTTCGTAGATTTGAAATGACACTTGTGAATTTTGTTTGTCATATACAATTCTCACATAAAGTGTGCTCTCGGTATTTGCATATTCATCAGCATATTTTGCATAACATGAATTTATTTTATCTTCTATATTTTTTAACGCAGTCTGTAGAGAAGATGAAAGGTCAACTTGTATTAGCTCAATTTCTTCCCACATTTTTCGTTTCCCTTCAGATATATAATCTATATGAAACCTTACAATAAATGGAAAACTTTTATCTTCTACAGACACAAATTTTATTCTACGAAAGCCAATAGCTTTTGTGACAGATGGGTCTCTTAGCCATCTTAATGGGTAGTCAAAACGATAGCCTTCATGCTTTACGGTCTCTGTCTCAAACTTTTGACCGACATTAGTAAAAAGTTCATCTAATGGTTTAGTTGTAGCAACTCTTGAATTTTCTTTTTCTATTGGAAGCATATTTTATCTAGAATAAAAATGTCGAAAGATATTGCTTCCATGAGAGAAATACAACACAACCGACAACTCATTATGCAAGCTCTAAATAAGAACACAACAAACTTTTCAAACTATTCTAAGATATCTGAGTCATTGAAAGAAGGAAACTTAAAACTGACATTAAACCCAATGACAGATGAGTTTCTATTTCAAGACAATAAGAACCATACTGTCTGTATAAATCCAACAAAAGGAACTTTAAACGAGAAACCTATAAATGAACTTCTTTTGAAAACGGATGTTGACAACAAAGCTGACAAAGAATATGTAGACGATGCAATAGCAAAAGAAGAAGAAAGAGCTAACAATGCTTATGCAACAAAAGAACATACTCATCCTGAACTAGCAGACAAAACATATGTTGACAATAAAATGTCAAGTGAAGTGACAAGAGCTGAAAACGAATATTCTAAAAAGACTCATATACATTCTATATCTGAAATAACAGACTTAAACGTTAGCCTTGAAGAGAAGGTAGATAAGGGACTTATGGCTAGTGTGTTAGTGAAGAAGGCGGATAAGGAATATGTGGATGAAAAAGATAAAGAAATTATAGAAAAGGTTGAATGGTATCATGAACGGACATCGAAGATTTTAAAAACTAAAGCTGATACAGGATGGGTTTCAGGATGTTTAGACCTTAAAGCAGATAAAACTTATGTTAACGATGAGTTAGAGAAGAAAGCAAATAAGACTCATACACATAACATTTCTGACGTAAATGAACTTCAAGAAAAGTTAGATGACAAAGCAGACTCGAAATGGATAGCTGGATATGTAGATGCAACAAAAGAATATATTTTCGCATGGACAGAAGGAACATACGCACAAAAATATCATAGACATAACATTTCTGACGTAAATGAACTTCAAGAAAAGTTATATGACATTGTGCTTCTAAGACAGGAACTCAATGTGCTTAAAAAAAAATTTGCCGAATCTTATTTACCCGGTTGGCTCATTATATGTTTCAATGAACTCTACCAGACCAGAAGTAGTACTTGGTGTTGGAACTTGGACTCAAATAGTCGACAGGTTTTTGTATTGTGCAAACTCTTCAAAGGAAACAGGTGGAAGTAAAACGATTTCGGGTGAAAATC